TGTATGTGGCTGGCGCCTTAGCCGCTTGAGCCACAGGCGCCGAGCCGGTACTAATGTTTTTCCATCTACCTAAGATGCACTTTCCTCCTCTAGCCCTCCCTTTGTTGAAATTCCACCCATTTTGTATGTCCCAATTTGATTTGATCTTTTCCTTTCCTTCCCAATCAAGCCAGAAAATCAGCTTTTGAATTCCTAGTCCATTAATTGCCTCTAGCTACTGTCCTTTGTGCTATAATTATTTGTGTAGGAAATAGTTACTCAGATTGACTACGGAGTACTTTTTTCTGGTGGTGATTGGTGTAGAAATGTGTGAATTTGGGTGGCTTTTTACATCTTGCCTACCATTGCATGAAACACTGGGGTTTCTTCAAAATGTGTGTGTCGTACTTCTTTTGGGAGGAGGGTTGGTTTCTTCTCTTCTTTTTGAGACTCCTACAGGAGCTGAATTTGTAATTTAGAAACATTTAATTTTGTTAATCTTGTCTGGGACACTTAAGTAACATCTGAAGCATTATTGTTTTAGAATGTTCAAATAAAATTTCCTGACCAAAAAAAAGAAATACTCACTAACATGGTACCAAAATCTATCAAAAATTATGTACTGGAGGCCAGGCACAGTGGCTTACACCTGTAATCTTAGCACTTGGGAGGCCAAGGCGGGTGGATTGTCTCAGCACACAGGTTTGAGACTAGCCTGAGCCAGAGCAAGAACTCATCTCTAAAAATAGCTGGGTGTTGGGGTGTGTGCCTGTAGTCCCAGCTACTTGGTAGACTGAGGCAAGAGAATTGCTTGAGCCCAAGAGTTTGAGGTTGCTGTGAGCTATGCCACCACAGCAGTCTACCAAGGGTGACAAAGTGAGACTCTGTCTCAAAAAAAAAAAAAAAATTAACACCAACAAAAAAAATCATGTACTGATTCTCACCTTTATATGTTTTGTAGGTGCTAATCATGTTGCTAAGAAATAACAGTATGTTTCTGTGAAGACAAGTGTGGTCCAGGTGAGGGCCACCTCATTCCTGAGTGTAAGATGTTCTTCTTCTAGCTGTGTATGTTCTGGTTTTTTTTTAGAGACAGAGTCTCACTTTATTGCCCTTGGTAGAGTGCTGTGGAGTCATAGCTCACAGCAACCTCCAACTCCTGGGCTTAGGTGATTCTCCTGCCTCAGCCTCCCAAGTAGCTGGGATGTATGTTCTAATTATCCTTGGCTTTCTGGCCAGGAGTAATTAAAACCATGGACTTAGAATTGGGGATTAACTCCCTTTTTTTTTTTTGAGACAAACTAACTCTTTCACTCTGGGTAGAGTACCTCACAGCAACCTCAAACTGTTGGCCTTAAGCAGTCCTCTTGCTTTAGCTTCCCGAGTAGCTGGGACTATAGGCGTGCACCACTGTGCCCGGCTAGTTTTTCTATTTTTAGTAGAGATTGGGTCTCGCTCTTGCTCAGGCTGGTCTTAAACTTGAGCTCAAGTGATCCACCTGCCTTGGCCTCCCAGATTGCTAGGATTATATAGCTGAGTCACTACATGTTCTTTATCATGCTCAGTCTCTCAAAAATTAATATTTTTCCTTTCTTTCTTTCTTTTTTTTTTTTTGAGACAGAGTCTTGCTCTGTCACCCCAGGTAGTGTCATCAGCATAGTTCACTTCAACCTCAAACTTCTGGGCTCAAGTGAACCTCCTGCCTCAGCCTCCTAAGTAGCTGGGACTACAGGTACACAACAGCACACCTGGCTAATTTTTGTATTTTTTGTAGAGATAGGGCATTGCCATTTTGCTCGGCTTGTCTCAAACTCTTAGCATTCAGCTGTCCTCTCACGTTTGCCTCCCAACATATTGGGATTACAGCTGTGAGTAGCTATGTTTGGCCTGCTTTTCCCTTTGAACAAATAGATTTGTGAGAATACCTTGTGTATTTTTTTTTTTTAAGAGACAGAGTTAGCTTGGCGCCTGCGGCTCAAGCGGCTAAGGCACCAGCCACATATACCTAAGGTGGCAGGTTCGAATCCAGCCCGGGCCCGCCAAACAACAATAATGGCTGCAACCAAAAAATAGCTGGGCGCTGTGGCGAGCGCCTGTGGTCCCAGCTACTTGGGAGGTAGAGACAGGAGACTTGCTTGAGCCCAGGAGTTGGAAGTTGCTGTGAGCAGTGAAGCCAGGACACTCTACCCATGGGGACAGCTTGAGACTCTGTCTCAAAAAAAAAAAAAAGAAACAGAGTCTCACTTTTTCGCCATTGATAGAGTGCAGTGGTGTTACAGCTCACAGCAACCTTGAGCTCTTGGGCTTACGCAATTCTTTTGCCTTGGCCTCCCGAGTATCTGGAACTATAGGCACTCACCATAAAGCCCAGCTATTTTTTGTTGTACTTTGGCCGGGGCTGGGTTTGAACCTGCCGCCCTTGGTATATGGGGCTGGCACCCTACTCACTGAGCCACAGGTGCCACCCTACCTTGTGTATTTTTTTCCCCTTTGATCCAGAATTGATCACTGTAGAAGAACTGACAACATTTATATCCATACCTATGTTGAAAGCATATTTATAGCAAATAACGTCTTACAGTGTTGGTCAGCATTTCCTAAACTTGGCTTACAGAGTTACTATTGTGGTTTTGTATCATTTGGTTTAGCTGAATTGTTGCTTGTATGTCTTTTTCATCTAAAAGGCTGGCAATGTTTGGTGGGTCTGCCAGTTACATACTGGAAAGCAGTTAGACAAATAGGGATCAAAAATTAGTTGGGGTTCAGCGCCTGTAGCTCAAGCAGCTGAGGCACCAGCCACATAACCAGAGCTCACAGGTTCAAATCCAGCCTGGCCTTGCCAGGTGGTAATGACAACTACAACCAGGAAATGGCTGGGTGTTGTGGTGGGCACCTATAGTCTCGGCTACTTGGGAGACTAAGGCAAGAGAATCACTTAAGCCCAGGAGTTGGAGGTTGCTGTGAGCTGTGATGCCACAGCGCTCTATCCAAGGTAACAGCTTGAGGCTCTGTCTCAAAAAAAAAAAAAAATTAGTTGGTACAGAGTTGGGTGCAGTGGCTCACACCTGTAATCCTAGCATTCTGGGAGTCTGAGGTGGGTAGATTACCAAAGATCACGGGTTCGAGACCAGCCTGAGCAAAAGCGAGACCCCATCTCTAACAATAGCCAGGTGTTGTGTGTGGCGGGCACCTGTAATCCCAGCTACTTGGGAGGCTGAGACAAGAGAATCGCTTGAGCCCAAGAGTTTGAGGTTGCTGTGAGCTATGACACCATGACACTCAACTGAAGGCAACAAAGTGAGACTCTGCCGCAAAACAAAACGAAACCAAAAAGAAGGATCCTAGCGGGGGCCTAGGCAGGTAGACTGCCTGAGCTTAGGAGTTCAAGACCAGCCTGAGTGAGAGCGAGACCCTATCTCTAACATTAGCCGGGAATTGTGGTGGCCTCCTGTAGTCTCAGCTACTCAGAAGGCTGAGGCAAGAGGACTACTTGAGCCCAAGAGTTTGAGGCTGCTGTGAGCTATGATCCCATGGCACTCTATCAAGGACAACAAAGTGACACTCTGTCTCAAAAGAAAAAACAAAATACTATTACGTAAGAATATTATGGGAGAAATCTATGTATTTGGGAAACTTTGCTTTAAGTGATGAAACCAAAACTCACCAATAAACTTATCCATAAGTTTAATCTAACATAGGAATTAAAGACAAATCAACAAAAACAATAAAACTAGTATTATTTTCAGGCAAGGCTTTAGTTAGAAGAATGTTACATGCTGGAAAGTAGTGCAGTCTTCTGGAATTGGCCATCACTTACTTTGCATCATGGGACTTTTAATGTGAAATGGCAGCCCAGGTTGTTCAGTTAAGCACACTGAGTATTCTACTGTTGTCAAGGTTGTTGAAAGCAGTACCTGATAAATTGTACATTCTACCAGATCAGTTATACTCTTGAGTTGTCAAGAGAGCTGCAAGTAGTACTTTAATCTGTGTTTTTTCCTTCTTCAAATAAGGAAATTCTTGACTCATTTTTAATTTCGCCTCTTCTGGACAAAGATTGGAACTCCTTTGGTAATAACTAGAACAAAATAACCAAACTATCCAGGTTGATGGATATAAAATTCTGTTTATCACCTACACTCATTAAATTTTAAGTGCCCAACAATGTTGGGTATGGCTTTATGTATTCTTTGGCTTAAAAGGATTTTAGAAAAGAATTTTATTTTAGAGGTTTTATTTCCTGAACTTAAAGTATATTATACTTTCCCCAATTGTTAAAAGATTTTAAAATAATAAGAATTATAATGAGAGCCAATGTTAATATATATTATTCTTAAATGTTCTTAATACTAGTATAACATGCCTGGTATTTTCAATATATTGCCTCCTTAAATCTACATAAAAATGGGTATTATCCGCCTCATTTTTCAGCTGAAGAAACTAAAACTGAAAAGGTCATGTAATTTGTACATGGTAAAAAGGTTACATTTCACCCAAGTATGTCTTGCCTTAAAGCCTTTGCTGTTATACTGTGCTGTGTCCCTATCTCTCTCCCTGTGTCTGAGTGGCCAGTGCTGCAGAGCTTAGGGAGAGAAGGCAGCCAAAAGGAACTTGAATGTAGGTAGAACCTAATTTGGCTCTGGTTCTACTGAGGTGCTGATTGTACCTCTCCTGGGATGTAATGCAGAAGGGGAACATTTTAATCCAAATGTGACTTTGGAATAGCTTTAAGTTCAGATAAAGGCCAATTGATGTTTACACAGTGGTTTAGTCATAAAATGATGGAACTGAAAGGGACTTTAGAGATCATCTGGTCTAATCTTCTCCTTTTACAGGAAACTATAACCCCAAGATATTGAACCATTTGACCAAGGTTACATAGTCTTCAGGAAAACCGGTAGAGGACTATGATCTGTAGGCGTAGGGCTCTCTGCTCTCTCACTTATACCACACCACTGCCAGTCCATGTATGCTGAAGAAACCTCTTAGGTGTCTAATGTCTGATTTTCTTTATTGTATAGGTATTTCAGTATCTGTAGACAAGATGGAATCAACTCCATTTAATAGACGCCAATGGACTTCACTATCATTGAGGGTAACAGCCAAAGAACTTTCACTTGTCAACAAGAACAAGTCATCGGCTATTGTAGAAATATTCTCCAAGTAAGTGCTGATCCTGGTCCAAAAGGACCATCTGTCTTGAGCACACATTACCACCTGTCATGGAAATTGGTGGAGGAAGTACATGATGTAAAATGGCTTTACTATTCACCTCCCAGATTTCAAACACTAAATAAGGCATTGTGGAGAAGGCAGATGATAATATTATAATAGTCAGAGACACGTTCTCTGGTTTTACGTTTTTGTTTAGTTTGAGGAAGAAAAAGTTACAAACATAAAAGATAACTATAAAATAATCTTAAAGCAAAATATCAGCAAGTCCAAAGTGAATAGGAATGAAGACTAGATACAGATGAAGAGAGGAGTGACCATTGTGGGCAAGAGCTAATCAGGAAAGCTTTCTAGTTCAGATAAGTTTTGAGGCAAGTTTTGACTTATTTGAAGGGACCATTAAGTGTACTCTCTACCTGTGATAGTCACTATCTGTGTGGCTATTCAAGTTTAAATTAATTAAAATGAAATAATAACACTCAAAAATTCTGTTTATCAGCTTCACTCATCACATTTCAAGTGCCCAATAATCTTGCTTGGGCACATAATGAATAGCATAGACACATTTCATCATTGTACAAAGTGCTGCTGAACAGTGCAAACCACACAGACAAACTGTAGTGCATTGGCTGCATATTTGATAAACATAGCCATGTCCATTTGAGTATTGTCTATGGATGCTTTTGTGCTACAATATCCCAGTAAGATAGTTACAACAGAGACCTTATCACTGTCAAAGTCTAAAATATTTACTATCTGACCCTTTATTATTTATTGATTGATTGAGACAGGGTCTGACCCTATTGCCTAGGGTAGAGTATAGTAGCATCATCATAACTCACTGCAGCCTCAAACTCCTGGGCCTCGGCAATTTTCCTGTCTCAGCCTCTCAAGTAGCTAGGACTATAGGTGCATGCCACCATGCCCAGCTATATGTGGCTCTTTAATTCAAAGTTTGCTGACTCCTGCTCTAGTCCATGAGTTCTTTGGGTTTATTTTGTTTTGTTTAGACAGTCTCATTTTGTCACCCCCCAGTAGAGGGCTGTGCTGTCATAGCTCACAGCCACTTCAAATTCTTGGGCTCAAGTGATTCTTTTGAGCTTCCTGAGGCAAGAGAATCACTTGAGCCCAAGAGTTTGAAGTTTTATCACCCAGCTATTTTTAGAGATGGGGTCTCTTGCTTTTGCTCAGGCCAGGCACAGTGGCTCATGCCTGTAATCCTAGCACTCTGGGATACTGAGGTGGGTAGATTGCTTGACTACAGGTGCCTGCCACAACACCCAGCTATTTTAGAGATGGGATCTCTCGCTCTTGCTCAGGCTACTCTCGAACTTGTGACTCAGGCAATATGCCCTCCTTGGCCTCCAGAGTGCTGGCCATGAGTTTATTTGATATGAGGTCCCCTTTCCTGCTTATTTTGAAGAAGTTTGTAGAATAGTAACTGGAATATTGCAGGTACTCAACAAATGTTCAAAGAATTGTATATGTAAATAATATACCAGAGATGGCAAACACAACTTCGTTCAAGTAGATGCCATAGTGCGGAGGAGCTGAAGGTAGAAGGTAGGCTTACATTACTAGTGAGCAGAGTTTTGGGGGTTTTTTGTTGTGTTTTGTTTTTTCTTTGCGTGTGTGGTTTTTTTTTTTTTTTTTTTGAGACAGAGTTTCATTATATTGCCTTCGATAGAGTGCTGTGGTGTCACAGCTCACAGCAACCTCAAACTCTTGGTCTTAAGCTATTCTCTTGCCTCAGCCTCCCAAGTAGCTGGGATTACAGGTGCCTGCCACATTGCCCAACTATTTTTTTTTAAATTGCAGTTATTGTTGTTTAGCTGTCCTGGGCTGGATTCAAATCTGCCAGCCTTGGTATATGTGGCTGGAGCCGTAACCACTGTGCTACAGCCTGTGGGTTTTTTTTTTTTTTTTTTTTTTGCTTTCCCTTTTTGGCTACTATGAATAACATAACTTTGAACATTCCTGTATATATAAGTCTTTGCATGGAGAGAGGAGGAGCTGCTAGACTGTCTTCTGTAGCAGCTGCCCCATTTTATAATACTATGAACAGCATACAAAGGTTCCTGTTTGCCCAAACCCATTTTCTGCAACCAAGACATCTCTGGGGCAGGTGCTGTCCTGTGCTCCTTTTTTTTTTTTTTTTTTTTTGAGACAGAGTCTCACTCTATTTATTGCCTAGGCTAGAGTGCCATGGCATCAGCTTAACTCCCTGCAACCTCAAACTCCTAGGTTCAGTCAATTCTTTTGCCTCAGCCTCCTAAGTAGCTGAAACTACAGGCGTCTACCATGATGGCCTGGCTAATTTTTCTATTTTTAGTAGAGGTAGGGTCTTGAACTCTGGAGCTCAAGAGATCCTTGCTAGGATTATAGTCATGAGCCACTATACCTGGCTAAAATAGAGTTTGTTGATAGGAAGCTACTGCACATTTATGAGAAGAAAGATGGTAAAAATTTAAAGAAAGTAATTCTGGGAGTTGTATCTAGGACACAGCTAAATATCAATAGGAGATTTCTGTAATCAACAATGTCACCTTTTTTTAAACAACTAATTCATTAAGCACCTGCCATGTGGAAAACACTGCCCTTCCAAATTGTTAACCTTGGTTATCACTTAAGATAGAGTGGAGATCAAACTGTGGAGCCCTTTTAGCTTCTATGTTAAATATTTTATATTGCTGTTATTATATGTCAAACATGTATTATTATTATCAAGAAAAGAAAATCAGGCCAGGTGCAGTGGCTCATGCCTATAATCCTAGCACTCTGGGATACTGAGGTGCATGGATTGCTTGATCTCAGGAATTCGAGCCTAGCCTGAGAAAGAGCAAGACCCTCATCTCTGCTAAAAACAGAAGAAAAAAAAACCTGAGGCAGGAGGAGGATCACTTGAGCCCAGGAGTTTGGGGTTGTTGTGAGCTATGTTGACACCATGGCACTCTACCCAGGGCAACAGAGTGAGACTCTTGTCTCAAATAAATAAATAAATAAATAAAAAGATAGAAAAGAAAATCAATGAAGATATTTCAGAAAAAAAGGACAGAAAGCCAGAAGGCTATTAAGACTTAATCCTTAGACTGGGTGCAATGGCTCTTGTCTATAATTCTAGTACTCTGGGAGGCGGAGGCAGGTGGATCGCTTGAGCTCACAAGTTGGAGATCAGACTGAGCAAGAGTAAGACCCTGTCTCTACTAAAAATGAAAAACTGAGGCAAGATTACTTGAGCTAAGAGTTTGAGGTTGCTGTGATCTACCAAGGGTGACAAATTGAGATTGTCTCAAAAAAATAAAATACCACCAAAATGTAGTAGCTTAAAGTAATGACAGCTGGGTTTTTTGTTTGTTTGTTTGTTTGTTTTTTGCTTATGAGTCCCCACTTTGGTCTGGGCTTATCTCTGCTCTACTCAGCATTAGGGTGGCCCAAAGGCTGGGAGCCATGTGCATCTAAAGGCTCATTTACTCACCAGTCAGGCAGTTGATGCTTGCTGTCATGTGGGATCTCAGCCGAGGCCTTGGTTGAAGCACACATGGCCATTCCATGTGGCTATTTGGCTTGGTGACTGGGTTCCCAGGGCAAGTGTCCAGAGACAGAGGGAGGGAGGGAGCACAGGAAGAAAGGAGTTCAAAGTTGTATTGCCTTTCATTACTAGGCCTCAGAAGTCATACACTATCACTTTGGCCACATCCCCTTTGTTAGAAGTGAGTTACTAAGTCTGGCTGATACTCGGGGAGGGGGATTTGACTCCACCTTCTGATGGGAAGACTATCAAAGATTTTTTGGACATGTCTTAAAACCATCCTATATGGCTTTCCAGGCCTCTCCTCTAAAGATCTTGTTTTGATGTATCTGGACTAGGAACCAGGAATTTGTGTTTTTAACAAGTATCCTATGTGATTTATACCTTTACAGAAATTTAGGAAGCACTGGTAGTGGAAGAGATGGATTTTTGAAATCAAAGCAGTGAACTTGAACATAGAGCAGAATGAATAAGTCTAAGATAGGAGGTTCAAGCAGAGGATTGTAGAAGATGAGTAAAGGGAAAAGGAAGGAAAGCAGTAGTCTGGCATAGAGAAATACAAAAGGGAGAAGTACCATGCAGTTAGGCCAGAGGGTAGAAGGCCTCAAATGCTATGCTAAGTTTAGGATTTAGTCAGATAAATGGTGTATACAACTGAAGGTTTTCTTTTTTTTTTTTTTTTTTTGAGACAGAGCCTCAAGCTGTCCCCTTGGGTAGAGTACTGTGGCATCACAGCTCACAGCAACCTCCAACTCCTGGGCTCAAGCGAGTCTCCTGCCTCAGCCTCCCAAGTAGCTGGGACTACAGGCGCCCGCCACAACGCCTGGCCATTTTTTGGTTGCAGCCATCATTGTTGTTTGGCGGGCCCGGGCTGGGGATTCGAACCTGCCACCTTAGGTGTATGTGGCTGGCGCCTTAACCGCTTGAGCCACAGGCGCCGAGCCTGAAGGTTTTCATGTAGGGAGAGTGACATGATCAGACTTGTATTTTAAAAGACACTGTGGCGACAGTATAAAAGGTATATTGGAAAGGTCAGAAATTGATAATGTGGAGACAATTTATGAGACTCTCTTGGGAACCCAAGTGAAAGCTATTGAGACTGGGGAGTAGGAATGAAAATGAAGGGGAAAATATGAGACAGTATTAAGGTGTGATGAATGGGACTTGGAAATTCCCTATTCTGCAGAGAAACTTCTCCACATTCTTACCCTTTTCACCCTCCTTTGCCCCAACCCTCTTTAAGTAAACTTGGCTTTCCTTTGACATGCATCTTGTCTTTGAGTAGTGGCTGCCTATTCTTTCTGTACTTGCTTTCCTGAAATATTCTGGGGCCAGATGGGTTGCTACTCTCCTACATCTTTAATGCTATTTGCCATCCATTGTTTTTCATCCCTGGTTATGAAGTACTAAACCTGTTCTTTGAGACTCACATCTAACTATACCACACAATTCTTATCTCCCT